GAAGCTGCTTTTATTTGCGTGAAACTGAACTCGGTCTGAACTCAGCCTTAATCTTGGGACTGCTGCAGATTTAGATAGAAAAACAGTTATTTGCACATCCCGTATGCATGTTGTAATGCGGTGCTGTCATACGGCACACTGGACCGATAGTTCTGTAAATGTTTTTCCTCTGTGTTTATGCCAGAATTTGGACACTTTGGCATATCTAATTAACTTTAATGGGGGGTTTTTTTGCAGCGGGATGGTAAAATCAGTAACCCTCTATTCATTTTTGAAGGCTACATAATTGTGCGCTTTGCAGGGTGCTTTGTCAGGACATGCTGTGCTCCCAGGTCAAAGTGTCAACATCCAGTATGTACAGTAGAAAGCTGAAGCAAATCTGTTTCCCTGAAATGCTCCTTGCTGAAATATGGGTTATTTAACTGTAAGCATAATTAATAACAAACAGGTTTTAACATTTTAATGAGATCATACACAAGTACTGGATTTTGATTTTGTTGTATGTTTTCAGTATTACATAAGCATGGTGTCAGGTAAAATTGCAAAGAGCGGGACTTCCTTGATAAATATTTAACTAAGTGGTAGCTTACTTAGTCTATGCACTTCATTTGGCGCTATCTGTGAAACAAAGCTTTTACGGTGGGTGCAGAACAAAGACCTGAATAACACAATTTGATTAGGCCTGTGCACTGTGCCGCCGCCTCAGAGCTGAGCGATAATAGAGTGTCCACTCAGCTGCACGAGTGTAAAAGCAAATTAACTCCAGTGCATATCTCCACTGAGTATAACTTCCTAGCTGGTGTGTTGGTGTGCATGTGTGTTTCTCTTGTGTCTCATCACTCAGTTACTTAACAAAGGACTCACTGTAGAGTCAGATCAGCTGTGCCTTTATACACCGAATCCTACAGTCTGGGCCCTTATTGTTGATGTTCTGGGAACTAGGCTAAAGGGCAGCATGATGGGGCTGGAGAGCATTGGGGACAGGGGTGTTGAAATAAACAGACATGACACAAGAGTGGGAGGAAAAGAAAAACCTTCTGGTACAGTATGTAACCGGTGTGGACCAGTACTCCTAGACTCATAGGAGTACTAAAATGCAGCTTCTATCGTTTGAACTGATTTGTACAGTTTCATACGAATCCTGTTCAACATGAAGATAAGCTGGACTACAGGCGGAAGCAGCACATTCAGACTCACTGTCTGCCAGTGATGATCCAATAAATGTAATAAAATGATGTAGAATAGTTAGAAATTAGACGAGTGTCAGTGGCTTGTGCATTGCTAAAAAGCTGCAAGTATAAAGCCTGATTATTATAAGCAGACTGTATTCCCTGCTGACACTTTCAGGGTGTTATTATTACATAACATTATTATGTATAGTTTATTACTGTCTTGTCACTGCTGCTAGTATAAGATTGGGTTTATTCTGTAAAACTTGACGATATTTTCTGAAATAATTCTGTTTTTCTTTTTAGTTTTTTTTTATGTCAAAGTAAGTTGCACTCATGGGCCACTTCTTTAGTTACATTAGTTGCCCTAACCCTTGTGTGGTGTTCGTATTTTTGTTACTCAGCCAGTGTTCATGGGTCTGGTGGACCCGCTAGAGTTTTGGCTTTCCAAATTAACACTATCAAACAATTTTATGTTAAATTACTCAACAGATGTTTACTTCATCCCAATTACAAGACATATGAACAGCAAACATGGTTAATTTTTTCCCTTTACCTTTGTTAGATCACATTTATGAATTAATGTGCTTCTCGTTTTTCTTTTATATAAAATGTTATAAATAAATCAGTTATAATCAAGTGGAGTGAGTGGAAAGACACAACACATTTACACGTGAAAAAATAATTAATTGTTTAATTTTTCTTTTGAAAAAAACTGAACACGGGTCTCACAGACCCGAACACCATACAAGGGTTAAATTTCCAATAAGCTGACTGAAACTAGTTTGAGATGATTTGAGCTTTGCGACATGGTGCATTGGTCAGCAGCAATACTCAGGATGTGGTGTTTAAGTGATGCTCAGCTGGAACTAAAGGACCTAAAGTGTGTGAAGAATATATCCCTCCACGCTATTACACAATCGACTGAGGTGTTGATACAAAGCTGGAGCGCGGATGGATCCATTCTTTTGTGTTGCTTACAAAAAATCCTGAACATACAACCTGAATGTGGCAGCAGGAATCGAGACTCATCAGACCACGCAACATGTATCCAGTCTTTTAGTGTCCAGTTTTTATGACTCCATACCAATTTTAGCCTATGTTTCCCCCTCTTAGCTGACAGGAGTGGTGCCCTGTGTGGCCTTATGGTGGTCTTCCTCCCCTCACCTTCAACTGGTTACAGCAGATGGTTGTCCCTCCCTCAGCTTGCTTCTGTCAGAGGTTTCTTCCTGTTAAAGGGGAGTTTTTCCTTCCCAGAAGTGCTTGCTCATGAGGGGGTGGGGGTGTCCTCTAACTGATGGGGTTTTCTCATATTACTGTAGGGGTTTTACCTTACAATGTAAAGTGCCTTGAGGTGATTGTTGTTGTTATTTGACACCGTGTAAAGAAACAATTTTAACTGAACTGAGTTGAATAACTTGAGTATAACGTGTGGTTATGTGAGTTTATGTTGCCTTCCTATCAGCTCGAAGCAGTCTGTCCATCCTCCTCTGACATCAACAAGGCATTTTCACCCACAGAACTGCTGCTTGCTGGGTATTTTCTCTTTTCTGGACAATACTGCAAACCCTGGAGATGTTTATGTGGGAAAATCCCAGCACAGCAGCACTTTCTGAAATACAAAGACCACCCTATCTGGCACCAAATTCCCTTAAATCACTTTTCTTCCCCGTTCTTATGCTTACTTTAAACGTTACCAGGTCATCTTCATCGTGTCTACACATCTAAATATATTGAGTTGCCACCATATGATCGGCATATTAGATATTGACCTTAACAAACTGTTGAACATGTGTACCTAATGAAGTGGCCGGTGAATGTTGTCATAGTGAAGTGGTCGATACATATAGTGAGTTTTTTGGGGAGGGGGGGTTACCACAGGAGGGATATATTTAAATTGGACACAGGTACAAAGAGCGCATGAGTGCAGTTGCCCAGTGTAGTTCCATTTACTGTTTACGAGTTTCTCCACTTTTACTTCTACTTTCTCCTTCGCTGCTGTCTGCTCTGTGATGTCAACAGAAACCGAAACGTCGCGTGAGCTGTTTTAGAAATGGGAGGAAGCAAACGAGATGTGTCATGTATCCTGGAAACGGGACAAGTATACACACCGCTGCGCTCTGTCATGCGCACTGAGAGGCAGGGAGAGACGGGGAGGGGGAGGCTGAGCTGGGCTGTGTCCTGAACTGGAATTTCCTCACGTCTTCTACCCGAGCCAAGCTTCACGTGCGGTTTACCGGGCCAAATCCACGTGTGCGAGTCCCCCGAGTCTCCACCTCTGGACTGGAAAGGAGGGTACCCGAGCTCATAAAAGTTTAGCAGGAGTCCGTGTCTGTAAGAAATCTTAGGAGAAAGTGTCACGGAGAAGTATTTTCCTGTGAATCTGCTGGGTTACATAGCATCAGCTTCGGGCGTTTATTTACTTCAGAGCTGCTGTGAAGACTGAAAATCAGAAAAACAGCAAGATAAGGTGGATAACAGTCAGGTTTCCCCCAGCAAGTTTGAAAGAAGGAAGATTTTTTGTCTTTGAATTAAAATGTAAGTAAAACTAAAAATTTGAATTTTTGCGCTTTGGTGTGTTCACTTGTGACTGGCCTGTTAGTGTATACAACTCTAAAACAAATCGCTGTTTACATTATATAGCTATACAACCTGCAATGTTATAGGAGCTACTTTTAGGTTCAGTCCTAACTATATTTTATCTTTTTTTTAAATCTAATTTATTTATTTATTTGTTCGTTTAATCCCATAAATTACACCTTTCCATGATTACCGCCGTCCCCGTGTTGTTGTTGGGTTTGTATGTCTTTTAGCTGGTTTCAGTGTATCAACTCAAAACTTTACCAAAGCTTCCCGCGCGGTTGTTTTTACGTGTGTGTGTGTGGTTATGATTCATTGGTGTGCAGGGGTAGTAAGGGCTCCAGACAGTGACAGCGCAGTTTGGCCAGCACGAGTTCCAGCCTCACGTGGACCCGTGTAGTAAACTGGGCAGGGTCCGAGCCGGTTCCAGCGCCGCCCGGGCATGACTCGTTCTCCCGCCACTCGCTTGAATCACTCCGCCCCCTCCTCTCACGCCGCATCATACGCGTGACTGAGTGGATGGAAATGGGAGGGTGTGAGGAGGATGGTGTCTACAAGCCGTGTATCCACCCTCTCCCAAACTGTTTCCTTGTTTCTGATGTTTTACTTCATTCTAGGTGAATTGGATTTATTTTTGGCTCCCCAGTTTTTCCCAGTATAAGGAGTCATTTTAAAGCCCGTCTTTATTGAAAGCTTTGTTGAAAAAAACAATGGACTTAAGGTGCCAGTGAACAGTTATCAGGTTGTGTTGATGGATTTGCTTCTCTGCCTCATCTGCACTTCTCTTCATCGTCATTATTTTCATCACTTATTAAACTAATCAGAGTGACCTCTCCCCCTCCTGCTGTTCTCAGCTGGATAATCATGATGGGAACTGCTTCTCATGATTGTTCCCTGAAAAGAAAATCCTGGGAATTCTGCCCAGTACTTCCCGGATGGCCTTAATGACATCCACCTGAGACACACCTGATTCCTTCCTGTAGCCTTCGCAGTAAAGTGTTTGCTGTTTGTAAGTCCCGTCCAGATCTGCAGATCTGGAAATAGGATTCACAAATCACCGCCTCTGATTTTTAATCTGCAGGGGGCCTGATACTGCCACCTGGTGGTGATTCTCGGTGTTTGCGCTGTTGAATCGCTGCTTAGGACTTGTCCTTACATGTCTGGTTGAGATTATGCCCTGGCATGTACCAGTGATTCAGAGAGAGGGAGGAGCGCTCAGTGAGTCACTGCCTTAGTATAAAAAGCTGCCCAGCGAGACCAGTGTGTTAGTTCACTGAGGAGCTTTACGCTGGTTTGAAAGATGGTGAGACTGATTTTTACTTTCATACTCGAGACAGTATCAAGTAACTGAGATGGATGCACTTGTAATGGATTACAGAGCTCATTTTGCTTGGTTTAGAATAAGACTGGCGCAGAAGTTCCTCTCCTCTCAGAGAAGTCACTGCATGTTTTACTTGTGCAACATTTCATCAGCACCGAGTGTCTGGGAGGATTAGTCTCATCGCTGGAGATGCTTAATTAATGGAGACAAAATTAACTTTCAAATATGCCATGCCTGGTTTATTATTGTCGCTACTTTTTTAAAGCAAAACGCCAATCAGTGTTACTCTAACCAGAGATCTTCTGTCTGTTTCCATCAGTGTAGAGTGATGGCTTCTCACAAGCGAATCTTGGGGGTTCTGAGAAAAAGACCAGCCCGGAGAAACCTGTTTGGGCCTGTGGACCGAGAGCAGCTACAGGTGGAGTACCAGGCTGCCATGCGTAGCGACCTTCAGGAGGCTTCAAAGCGGTGGGGCTTTGACTTTAGCTTGGACAAGCCTCTGGAGAGCAGTGATTTCCAATGGGAAGGTGTCCCGAGCACTAGGGTGCCTCTGCTCTACAGGTCCTGTTTGCAGGATCTCGGACAAGCTGAAGGCCAAAGGTCAGCAGCGACAGTTACTCCCAAGAGAGGGAGGGTGGAGACGGCACAGAGCGAGAAGGAGAACATCCCCGGTACGCCGGGGAAATGCACGCACAGCCAGGAGATGCTGGAGAAAACACCGGAGAAGGGCGAGAACACGGGGCTGAAGAGGAAGCAGACGAACATCACAGGTACGTGTAGCTGAAAGCGAGAAGTCTCGTCATTTTACGTGAGAGTGCATGAGCTTAAAATTCCTGCGCTTTATCCCAACAGATTTCTACCAGGCTAAAAGAAGAGTAGTGTGGAAGCCCCGCAAATCCGGCGAGTGATGTTCGGTGGAGAAACGCCAATATGCCAAGAGAACCTCACAGACAGGGCCACGCTCAGGAATCACACGTCCCGCACAGACTCTGGCCGTGCACCCAGGAGGGACCTCAACCACACGTCAATACAAAACACTTAATTAGGGTACTGTAGTCACTCTGAGGAGATTGGTGTTTTTTTCCCTCAGTGGCAAGAATGCGACATTTGAGCAGAGAAGATTAACAGTAATCTCTGGAATCAGTGGATTTACACTCATTTGGGGAAGGGGGGGGGGTGCCAAAGTGTTGCCCGACTGCACATTCAGCCGCACTGAAAGCACACTCACATCTGTTGGAGATGTGTCGATTAAAATCATCCAGCCTCATCATGTCTGTGAGCTGAGAGGACAAAGCTCTTTGGCTCCGTAGTTCAAATCCATTATTGTTTTTCTACAGCATTTTTTCTACTTGTGTATCACAAGGGTTTACCAGTCGTCTTCTTTTTTTTTACTTTCCGAAGTATGTTATACTTTTTATGTCCAGCTGCATACAGTGCTTTTATCGACCATCTTTTAATCAAAGGAAGATGCTTTAGGAGTTCTGACATCTCAAACACGCAGTTGCTTTGCTTAGATTGTAAAAGACAGAAGTGCCATCATGTCCTCTTCCATCCTTTTCCATCTACTTTACGTCAGCTGATTTTTGATGTCCTTCGGCTGCCCAGACTCTGATACTGAAAACGCAAACTAGGAACACTTAAACACGTTTATTTAGTTATATATGTATAAGAGATTTATCTATAAAGTTAAATATGGCATTGTCAGGTAGCATAATCATTTAAACTGCAGTGTTGCACATAAACACCCAGTATCAAGTGCCTTTACTGGCATTTGTTTTTGGTATTTAAAGTTCCTTCATCATAAGCAAATGTATACTAAGCTAAAATGTCACATTTATTATTTTCACTGTGCAATCTAACTAATGATATGTTTTGTTTTGGGGTTTTTTTGCCTTAAATTTGTTCTTTTTTTCCCCTCTTGGCACTTATTTATGTCTACATTAGCAAATCCTGCTGCTATGGGTAATATGAATGGGTGTCACTGTGACGCTAACCCTCACCAACAGAAAGCTTACAAATGCTCCAAAGCCGAGAAAATAAGCGAATGACCCCAAACAACGAATGCACTTCTGTTTGTAGATGCTTGCGCACATTTCCTCTGTATTGTGTTTTGTTCAAGGCTACAAGTGAAAATCTCTGTCCTTATTTATTGTGAGATACGATGTCATGTGTTAATTTAGGTTTTGTTTAATTATTATGAAATCCAATAAAATGGTCAAATGAACCGCCTTGTGTCTTTAATGTGTCGTCACTTTACTTTTTAGTATTAGCGGTAAAACTGTTCCTTAGTTTGGTTGAACCCTTGCAGTGTTGTGCAACAGTACAACAACTTGTCATTTCTCCATTAAGGCCATTATACACTCACTGGCCGCTTTATTAGGAACACCTCGCTAGCACTGGGTTGGATCTCTTTTTGTCTTCAGAAGTGCATTAACTCTTTGTAGCACAGATTCAGCAAGGTGCTGGAAACAAACCTCAGAGATGTTGGTCCATGTTGACATGAAAGCATCACATATTTGGTGCAGATTTGTCAGCTGCATATCCATGATGCTCTATCACATCCCAAAGATGCTCTACAGGATTGGGATCTGGTGACTGTGGAGGCCACTGTGGTGTTTTTTTTTATGTTAATCAATTGGCATTAAGGGGCCCAAAGTATGCAAGAAATCAGAAAATCGATTTCCTACAGAAATCGAGACTCCTGAAACCAGGCAACATTTATCCAAACATCTAATGTCCAAGTTTGGTGAGCCCGTGCAAATTGTGGCTTCAGTTTCCTGTTCTTTGCTGACGTCACTGGCAACATGGTGTGCATAGTTTGGTTGTAACGTTGGCTGTTATTTGAGTTTCTGTTGTCTATCTGTTCAAACCATTCTCCTCTGACCTCTGACACCAATGAGGTATTTTCTCCAAGAGAACTGCCGCTCACTAATTTGATATTTTCTCTTTTTCCGACCATCAGACCATTCCCGTAAAGAGGTGGCTGTGCAGCAAAATCCAAGCAGATCAGCAGTTTCTGAAATACAGCAGACCATGCCACATTCAAAGTCACTTAAATCGTCTTTCTTCTCTAATCTGATGCTTAGTTTGAATTTCAGCAGCTCCTTAGTCTGCATGCATAAATACATGGACCTGAAGCCATGTGATTGGCTAATTAAATATTTATGTTAAGGAGAGGTTGAATACACCCTAATAAAGTGTCCAGTAAGCGTGTTAACCTCTTGCTATTATTGGGCCACGATCAATAAGTAATACAATAATTTAAAAATAACAACACACTAAAATCAAGTGTTGTTGAAGTCTATTTTATTTATTATACCTTCCAGTTCTTTTACTTGTTTTGTTCTCAGTTCCTCTTTGAAATCTATTCCAAGTTTGTTTTTGAAGGCGACGATGAAAGCGTGTTTTACGCTTCCTTTTTAGAGGGCGTCCCTCCGCGGAGACACATCCTGACGCACCGTCAGGCACAGAGAGATCTGAAGTTGGGTGAATATATCCTCGAGTAGTGCCGAGTCATGCAAACTGGCTTCTGCTGTTGTGATACCACTTTTTTTTCTACTTCACTCTTTTGTGAAGTAGGCAAATTACGAGAGCGAGTCGGCGCTCTGAGGCATTGTGTACTTTGGCACAACATCACTGCAGTCCCACACCAGCACAGGCGAAGTGCGCGTGTTTGTACTGGAGTTAGTTTAGGTGAGTGGAACGCTCCCTCCCTCCCTCCACTCACCCCACCCCCTCCCTCCCTCCTCTGGCCTTATCAGCACGGGGGCACCTGCACGCCTGCGCCAAACTCTCCCAGCCCCTCCATCATCTGTCCCTTAGCTCCCACATCCATTACAGGGCAGGACTGATAGCATTTGCATGTAGACCGAAAGAGGGACAGAAAGAGAGGGAGGGGGAGAGAGAGAGATGTAGGAGAGTGAAGCAGGGGGAGGCGGAGGGAGCATATGACACAAAGGAGAGGGAGAGAGAGATCGGAGCATTAGAGATAGGAAGAGGGAGAGGGAGGCTGCAGATATCGATGGTGTTAACGATGGAGCGTTAGGATCCAGGGAGGTGACAGTTAGCCAGACCCACGGCTGGGGGTAAAGACATTTGAGGAGGGGGGACTCCTCCTCGGTGAGCTCAGGGGGAGGCGGAGGGAGGAGGAGGAGGATGGGCCTCGAACACAGACTTGCAATGGCACTGCAAAAATTGGATTAAAGCAGTATGGTAACGTTTTCTGATATCCTTTTTTTTTCTTTCCTTTTTAAAATTTTTCATTTTCATTTTCCTGCGCTGCTTGTGTCTCTCCTCGCGTGCTCGCTGGCATCACGTCCCCGCGCGTCTCCCGCTGAGTGAAGAATGCACAGGCATCACCCTGTCCTCTTGTTTTCACGCCATAGACATCTGCCATCTCCATCCTCATCCTCACCGCTTCTCTCCCGACCTTCAGGAGTCTCGGCTTCATCCACGGCGTCCCTCCGTGGATCTTTTATTATTATTATTATTATTATTATTATTATTATTATTATTATTACACGTTTAAACAGAGACACCGCGTCAGGTTTGAGCACCACCGCAGCCGTCGCCAAATGACAATTTATATTTAGGGTGCCTGTTTCACCCATACGGAACATTGCACCCCAACTCACCCCACTTCACCCCCTCTGATCCTGCGAGTGATAGCCACTCAAAAAAGCATCCCACTTTTTATTCATCTATTTTTTTCAGAGATCAGGAAAAAAAATGATTTGTTGTTTTTCCATCACGGGGCTGCAGTCATGCGTTTTCCTCTCCATCACACCGTGATTGTAACCTACTTTTACAATCACAGCGCGTGCTCATTTCACGCAGTCGCGCAGATATAATGTAAAATAAATCCTCGCGCCATCCCGCAGACAGAAACGAGAGCAGTGTTGTGAGAAATATCTCACAGCACTGCTCTCGTCATGTGTGAGCCCAAGCTCGTGTCTGAGGGTCTGATTGCTGCGTTTTGACGTCAGGCGGAGAGTCATTATCAAACGCGCCATCTGCCAAAGCCGCACATAAACATATAATACTGACCAGGGAATCCCCGCGTGGATCTGTCAACGCGGGGTCTCGTCGTGTAAAAGGGATTACATCCTCAGGCTGTTATGTTTTTTGTTTTTCTGAAGGAAAAGTCAGACGAACGTTCAGGCAGAAATAGATTTACATACACGCTCAGCGTGTCTTTAGCATTAAAGTACACGCCACGTGCTGCACACCTTCGTGGGTTTACATGTGTAGTTTGCTTCGATCTTAACTAATCGTCATCGTCGTCTTCTTCTTCTTCTTCTTCGTTTTTTGAGGCTCAGCAGGGCAGGAAGCATCATCTAATTAATGCATGGTGGCCTTTCTATGTGGTCTCTAATCTCTCCGCTAGATCGGTTAAAGCTAATATGCCCGGAGTGGGCAAAATGACACATTTTGACAGTCCCATCGAAGGAGGTTTATTTATTTTGTTGAGTGATTTTACTGAGGTTACTCAGGTGTTTTGTTTCTGGCAGTTGAGATCTGGAAAATATAATCTGCAGTTTAGAAAAACAGAAGAAATTTTGTTTCCTGCAGAAAGTAAAGATTCAAATACTTTACATTTTGTCTGTTTCTGTGAAGAGAATTTTTTGAATTACACACAACTAAAAATGAACTGAGTGTTTTATGTATGCGACCTATATGATGTACTTTAATTATAAACGAAGCATTACTGTTTTATTGTCATACAGCACCAGTCTTGAGCCAACCCTTGTCTCTTTATATTTTGCTTCGGCTTTCCAAAGGTCTTTCAAAGTTTTTTTCTCACTTTCAGTCCAGTCCTTGTACCTTGTACCTATGAGTCATTCAAGAACAAAAACAACATCTCACTCAAGGGATGAACCAGTGTTGTCTCTTTATGTGACAGAACATTAGCAAAGAACCGATTTTAAATTGCATCATATCTAATAAATATTTAATAATAGATTTTTTAATAAGTCTAATCTAGGCACTTTGTTACTAGCAGCCTGTCACAACAGCATATAACTTGTTTCCATTTCTTTAGCTGAATCTTTGAATAATGCTTAATATAAAGTTTAAAGGAAGAAAGGAAAGGAAAGGAAAGGAAAGGAAAGCCTTGACACAGGACCTAAAAGATGCATCTGACCTTGAATGTCCTTCAAGTATCCTGGATATCCCTGAAGGCTACTTAAAGAAATTACAAGAATTACAAGAAAGCTTGAGGAAGAGAGTTCAGGCGGTCATAACAAAATATTGAATTTCAAGCTCGTTGGAGTTGTACAAACTGTTTGCCTTAATGTGCTGTATTTATGTTAAGTTTGCACATGTAAATCACTGCACCTATTTCCCATTAAAACACATAGATATAAGGAGTGGCTCAAGACTTTTGCACAGTAATGTTTATGTGAATATAACACTAATAATAACAGCCTGTGTTGGCACCACATGTCTGCAGATGAACTTCTTTTCTTGTAAAACCCAGTCTGTGAAGAGTCAGCTACAGTGAAGATGTTTCTCCAGCGCCGTTTATCTGAATAACCTTTGTTATCTCTACTTTTACACTTTTATACGGATGAGGCTCTGATTCCTTAGTTTGACTAACACCTCTAATGTATCTGGAGCAGTTGTAGCTCTCTTTTCACCCCTGAATAGCAAGTCACTGCCCTCTTGTCCCCTCAGCTGGACAAGAGTGAGGTGGCAACTCTAGGCCTGCCCTCCACTACCAGCCATGGAGGCTCTGACACCAACATCAGCATGGACGGAGCGGGGGCAGCAGCGGCGGTGGGGTCGGTGTCTGGGGGCATGGCGGGGGGAGCGGAAAGTGCTGTGGCCGGTGAGCCGCAGCGGACACGTGCTGCTCTG